TTAAGGGGTTGATATCTACAGCGCAATGCCCGTATTGTGTTTTATTTCAACCTGTATTTGTGTGTATAGCCTGTGTGTACTTCTTACTCCGATCTCGAAATTAAACCAAATTCATTCGTTTGATACATGTCATGTTAGAACGTGCAATTAATATGTTGTTGTAAACATTTATAACGCTTCAAGACTATCAGTCTAAGTTTGTAATGTATACAAAGTTTAAAAGTGTAACTCTATATTCCACGGAAATGAAATCTAAATCACAACTAGAATTTTTTAAACGATACGCAGCTTTTACGCCAGAATTTAGTACCTAATATTGAAATATCTATCCAGCTTTGCACTGCGAGAACTCGATGAATTGCCAACGCGCCATTGGAGTGGAGTAAACTTGTCTTAGAACTTAATTGAAAGGAAAAAAGTGCAATTCTAGGAAGCGACACGTTCAGGAATAAAATTAAATGTAAATGGAAATGGTATTTAGTATTCTAGCTTTTGTATAGCTTTCACAAAACTGCGTTAAAGTTTACCTACATCTACAAATGTTTGCTGTAAATATTTTGTTCGCTTTGGATTACATTTTAGCAAATATGTTTATTATGAAAATATGAGAGAACTATGTGTTTTTACATTTCGTTCGGGAGTCGGAACTTTTGTTCATTTTCATGTTACGAGGTCAGTATTTGTGGTTTTTGTTCACTTTCGTAATTATGATGACACCATTTTAACTTCGTAATGTGATTGCATTTTTGCAGTAACAGCTTATTAGCCTGTTAGTAGTTTATAATATTTATAAATATCTTTTTCTATATCCATTTAGATCTTTGACTATAATGGTTCCCTCAAAACAAATACTCAAATACTTTTTTCTCTTAAATCTAAACACCAGTTATACCACACTTGACCATTCCCAAAGACAGGTGAAGGAATCATGCTAACGAATTTTTTTCTCCGTGGTCAGGAGGTTGTTTAAAGCATTGTTTATTGTTTTTATAAAATGGGGAATCCATTTATTAATTTATTTTTTATCGAGCCATTAGTTTTTAATTAGAGATTGTAAATAACAACTCTTAAGGTTGTGTAGTGTGTTAAATAATTTTGGGGTACAATTGCTTGAGGTAGGTAGTATTTAGGCGTGATTGTTGTTGTAAGTTATTTTAGACCTAGAATATTTTGTCTATGAATAGGTTACGAGAGTTCCGAAGATGAGGAAAGTAATTTAAATACTCGTTCTCAGTTATGGACATGTGGTGTTTACTTTTTAGTAATTGTTAGACTATTGGCATTTGTTGAGTACAATAATAATTATTGGTAGACATAACATAACATAATATCACGCATTAAGTGCCGTACTGAGCACGTCTGCCTACCCCTTTAGTGATAAAAGGCGTGATGTTATGTTATGTTGGTAGACCGAATAAATAAATAATAACAGTACTGGACATTTTAATGTTGTCAGTAATTTACAAAAATATGGATACGCCCTACATTACACATATGTCGTAGCTAACTAGAAAAAAGAAAGTGTTGCTTGTTCCGATTTTAGTGGATATAAATAATTCACGCACAAAACCTAAAAAGTCAAGTGTGATACTCATTAATACCTTCATGAATCGATAAGCTCTTCACCAACACATTGTCAAGACAATTTCATATAACAACAGGGAGACTACAGACACCCTCAAATTGCCACATTTACCACATTAATCGATTAGCTCCATAAGTCAAGCTTCAAGGCGTCTTGTGTAAGACAAAGTGACTAACGATCACTTGAATTTACCCTGCAAAGTGACTAACGATCACTTGAATTTACCCTGCAATATTACTTGGCTTTTGGCTCTGGCTCCTCTGTCTTGCAACCGAATCACTTGGCTGATCTTCTTTAATTAATTTGGTTGAAATGCATTTAAGTGGTCTTGGATATCTACATAATATCAACTAATATTTAATATTATAATTTTTATAAGGTTCAATTTAAATTTAATACTACCATAGATTTACTAAAAATCGCGAGTTACTCACGTGAATATACTGAGAAAACTCTACTAGTTTCGAATAGTCGTAGTAGTAGTAGTAGTAGTACTTGTGATCTGTCATATTTTCATAATTGATTAGCAACCCTGCCAACTAGTTTATTTTTCACCCCAAATAAGAAGTTACGAATATTGTTTAGTATACTGGTCAAGTTTTAATACTAAGTACATGGAACATCCAGCTAATTCAAAAATTGTCTTCAAAGTATAGAAGCAATTGAAATTACAACAAAAGTCTATAGAAAATCATGCAAAGCATAAATACATATTATAATCTACCCTAACTTTAACCCTGACGAACCACGGCGAAACAATTCTCGAATTGGAAAAAATATGTTTATAGACTTCACACCCCAAACCGACCTATTTAATAACACATCCTTTATAATATCGATAAAAAACAAAACACCGTTGTTTGTTCCTTGACCGCAAACGACAACCTCAATTTTACACTTCGGAAACAACACCGCAAAACATTATGAACCTTAGCCACCTACGCCCACAGTTACTTTTTAATCATCCTGTCGTTTCGCTAGCACTCATTCATAATTATTTTCAAAGGGCCATAGATAAAAATCAATATGTCATTTTAAAAGTTGCCTATAGATTTTTTCACCGAATTTCGTTAATTAAAAACATTTTATTGGTCCTATTCGTTGGTGGTAAAAGGTTGAGCATCTGCTTTTTTTTTCTTTTGTTAAACGGTTTAAATTTGTAGGCTGTGGTGGTCATTTGGTAGACGACTTATCTAGTTTTGTTAAATTATTGTAATAAGCGGTTGACAATTTGATTGACGCCAATAATTATGTGTGATAAAAAGTTACCAGAGTAATGATTCTATTTCAGAGTTTGTAATCAAGTGCAGTTGTTCTATTTGCAAGTACCTAATTTAAGCGCAGCCTCGTGATTTTCAAAGAGTCTCACCCGAACCCACACTGCTAATTTAGTCCCACTATTTTGCATACAGGCAGCGAGCCATGCGATATTCTCGATCACTCCTTCGATTATCGATAAGGCACGTCACTACCTCGAGAGCCCTTGTAGTTCTCATTATCAGCGTCACGCGCGCTACTCCAATGGCGCTGTTGTGCCAACATGGCTGCCGTTTCCGCGGGAAAACAAAGTGTGAGTGCGTGTGACTCTATCAAGATATAGTGCTAATTACAATTGTGTTAGAGCATTTGAAACAGAAAATTGTAATTTTCAGTTCAGATAGTTTCCAAGATGATACGTGATTCAAGACTTAGTTCATAAACCTAACTACTATAAGTAAAATTTACATAAAACTGTTGAGTTATCTTCAGATACAAATTACGATTTCATGAGAAATTCATTCTCGCATAACATTAATGTTAAAGATTTCAGTTTCCGCGTTATCAAATCAAATTGCACAATAGACAAACTAGGCTTCCGACTAGTCGGCGAATATTTCCTAATTAGTGTCTAAAATACATTAACATTTTGGTCACGAGACCTTCACAAGAAAATCTAGCTATTGTCAAAATGTTTTTGTGCAAACTTTATTATCATGAATAACAGACAATAAAATTATAAAATGAGTAATTAACGCTGAATTAAAAATCAACTGCGTTAGAAAATTAAATCCAAGGTGTAGTTTTTGTAAATGTACGAGGACTAACTACGCGGGGTTGAACAGAAAATAAAATGAAAGTATTAAAAGTTCGTCACAGTAACGAACCATGTTTTCTGCCAAGCGGAATCTGCACCTCGCACTTCACGTTTTTTGGCCCGAGGAAGTCATGGGGAGCTAATTTTTCTGTTTTATAATAGTTTTGTTCCTTTATTTTAACGTTGCAAGCAGAACTTTTCGAGGATCTAATTACAAAACCGAGGATCTTATTTAGGGTGAAGTTCGAATTTCAGCTCACTGAAATATTGAGTAATTTTAGAACCCTTCTAAAACCAACTTCATTATTTTTTCCTCAACTTTAAAGGGTGATCCTAGACTTTACTTTAACATTTCGAGACCGTATTATTCTGCGACCTGGAGGAATTTTGCAGAAACCGTAAATGGTGGGATAATTTGTGGGACGTACAATGGGACATTTACTGTAGACTTAGAAAAAACGTTTATTAAAGGTATATGTCATTACACTATCATCATTTAGACACTGCAAAGGCTCGTCATGAATCATTGTCTGCACAAACGTACTACATTGTTACGACAATCTCTAATGGATCTGAGTCCTTTGAGTAATTAGACATAGCCATTCCATTTCATGGTTAATTGTTGTAAGAGCTTTTGTTCCTATTCCAATTCAAAGCAAATAATGCGTTCGATATAATGCTGTTGATGCAATGTCTTCCGAGTGATCGATGATTCTGGTACAGATTTCAAGGAGCCGGCATACTAGTAACATAACCACGTTTGTCCCGCGTCCCATTCAACCTTACACCATTATTAATCGGATCGACAAGTCAACACAACCTGAATTCACCTCAATGAGTGCCTCGCATTTCGACGTTATAAAGAATAATCCAAACCGACCCTGACAGAGGACCGAACCCACGTAAACATATACTTCTCCCTCTGACTTACGTACAAACAACGAGGGAGAAAAGGACAGAGACAGTTTTGACAGTGCGTCTTCTATTCATTAGTCGTGATTACGGCACGGGATGAATTGACATCTGGGACATCGGGGTAGGCGCTCGGATTTCCCTGCTGAAGTTTCTGCTAAAATTTTGAGCGCGCGAATTCTATGAAATATGTATAGCGTCTGGGGCCGGATCGCTTGTGTCTCGACGCGAATATAAATATAAAGATATATTTTCTTAATATAAATAACGTTGAGTTCAAAGGAATCGCGGAAGGAGACTTGTCAAAGCTGTTTTAAGTCGACTTACTTATAATTAAAGTTAGCAAGATTTTTTTTAATATATTGAAGGTTATTTAATTCGCATTTGGTACAAGTCGCTGGGCTGAAGGTAATGATGGTTTGAACTTACCTAGAGCTGTACTGGCCATCCTCATCGTCTGGACTTGCATGTCATCTGGGGAGCCTTGAGCTATCTTCCTCTTTCGGGGTCGCCCCTTTTGAGTGGGACCTCCATTGAAGTACTGTGATGGAGAATCACCCTCGCTATGCAGATCTTGGCACCTGATAAAAATAAAAGTATTTCAAGATTTATTACAAATGGAATAAAGTGGAATTTTGATTGATATTTCTCGGATTTGAATAGGAATTTGTGTTACAAATTCTTCGTGGCTATTAGTAGCGGACCCGAGTTAATTGGCAAAATAATCGGAAGCGCGCTTTGAAGGGTTACGTCGTCTCTAGATGGAAATACATATTATGTATAATTGGGATTATTTTTTGAACCGTTTCTGTCTTTTTCTTTTTATGTATATTTTGTGTGCTTAATGTCTATAATGATAACATACTTATCTGATTAAACTGTACGATGTATAATATCTTACTGAACTTCTTTTTATTAATAACGAACGCTTTAATAAAATCTACTGGTATGGTAAGGTCAAAGTTTTGCATACGATTCCCGACTTAATACACACATATTAAGTCACAGATTCTGTATTTAGGCCCAGTATCAATATTAAGTGACTTTTAAAACATAACAGTCAAAGTAACCACTAAAATCTAAAAGTAAGCTAATATTACTTCCAATACTTCCAACGAAATAACAACAATATCAAGATTACTAAACGTAAAATTACTTCGTAAACTAAATCCAGCTAAATATTAAAATTTTCTAAAGATCTTTGCAAAGGAACCAGCGGCTATTCAGAATTCTTCCACTCGCTGCACGCTTTTACCAACTGTAAAAACTTTAAGCACTACGCTTTTAACAGAAAAAAGAATCTTTGAAAGTGAATACTTTTCTCTTAGTCTATTTTGTACTCGTACATTTTGGATTTTAAATTTTTATTTAGTATATTTAGAGTTATTAGCATGATTTATTTTTGTTTGTTGTTTTGTAGCTTTTAACTATTTAAATGTTAGTTTCCGAGACAGTTTAATACATGACTGTAGGAAGCTTAGAACACTATTGCATTTTGTCACATTAAATGTAGCAAATAACCTATCTATCTATTAACGCACTACATACTCAAGAAGAAGAATCCTTAAAATCTACTTAAAACTACAATAAAGGCTGATAACTCACCTGTAAATGCTGGTCATATCCTCATCACAATAGTCATCGAGGCACGCATTATCGTAGTGGGGACGACAGTAGACGAGGCCATCCCTCATGCCGAAGACGTCTCCTTTAGATAGCTGAGTTCCACAGGAGACACAAGTGAAGCAGGTCAGGTGATAGACGAGATCTCTAGCACGCATCACCAGCTCATTAGCAGTGATCCCGTTCCCACATCGAGCGCACCGCTTCACGCAAAATAGTCTGTAACAACGAGAATTATATTGCTCTGTTGCTTACGAACAGAGCTGTTGCATGCGTATGTGTTATTTAAAAGACAATTTTATCGTTCAGGTTTCATAGTTTAATTTATTTAAGAACAGCTATTACAGTAATTGTTATAGACTTTATATTGTTATGTGTGCAATAATAACGAGGCAATTTGAATTTGTTTTACAGTAATAATTTATGTTTTTTTTTCTAAATAAAAAATGTTATTAAAAAAACTATACTAACTAAGCAGGAAATAACTCAGTAGTTTTAATAAACTCGTCGTGACTTTTATTTCAATATATAATTTTTTGTATGTAAATGTCTAGTCTGTAGTGTGCGTAAAATAATCTGAATAGTTTCCAGTTGGGGGTCACTAGCCACCAAAGACATGTGACTAATGACCCCAACCTGTAGACATCAAGAGGTGAGGTGAGACCAATGGCTTCAATATGCAACCTTTGACAACTTAACATTAGACTCCCTCTCTTCGACAATCAATCAATTGTTATCGGTCTGACGGGCCACAGATATGTAAACAATTATAGCATATGTCCACTTGTAACGTGAGGGGTGGTTGAAGGACCAAATTATACCTGGAGTAGTGCATTAAACATTGTTATGACAGTTTGTTTTGTTCTTTATAAAATGTAAACAGTTTACTGAGTCAAGTTTCCTTTTGTATAAAAAGCATATATGTACATAGTTCCTTAAACAATTGAGTATTTTTGAACACATGTATGCTTTTTTGTGTAGGTATAAAGTTTTTAGTATAGATTTGCTGTTCAAAATTGTTATATATCTATCAGTTGAATTTTCCAACACCTCAGTGTTATGAAACTTGTTAAAACTGAAAGGCTTCACATAAATATTGGGCCAATTCAAAGGTGTAAACGAAGATATTGGATGATAGGTACAAGTTAGTTTTAAAAATTATAATTACACTTTCACAGAACACTAAGTCGTTCACTATATAATTATATGAATTAGTAACTGATAACTTGTTCCTTGATAATCCTTGTTATCTAAAATAAAGTCACGAAAAAGGGTATAGGCATTTTATAAGCCTGTAATATGATTGCATCATTGTTAAATATTATGGATTTTCACTAGTGAAAGTTTAGTATCTAGTAATATAATTTGGGGTAATTAGTGCTTCCGGTAATACTACAAATTTTGTATGTTGAATAAAATTATTTTCAAACAAAATAAACATGTTTGACGAAATTAACATGTTTCCCAAATAAAACGAATAAACCATTACATGTGGTTAGCAAACTCGTAAATGGGGCTAACGTAGCTAGTTGTTCATCGATGTTAAAACTGACAAATTAATACAATAAGGCTGTTGGATGTAATGTTTCTGAATAAAAATTATATTTTTTTTATAAAATCAAATATTTACTGAAATCCCGTTTAGATAAACTGATATACTACTTATATTTATTCAACATCTATCTATTGGTGTTTATTGAGACATTTTTTCTGAAACATATGAGTCCTCGTCATTGTACTAAAAGAAAGAAATACGAAATGTAATAAAGTAAGTCGGACAATTAATAAAACGGAATTGAAGTAAGGAAGCAAAAAAAAAATTGTAAGTAAATATTTTCGTATAGTAAGTATGTAACCTATACACCACACACAGTAACTTGTTGACGCAATGCTTACAAAAACAAGTCGTGGACAGGTGTGCGAACAGCGGAGTGTGGTGGACTTTGAGTGACAGCCTGCTTTGCTCCCTAATTGCTATACATATCACCTACGACCGTCAGCCGTTCGGTAAACGTTAAACACGCGTCGCGAAACATGTACCTAATTATCGGATTATCATAATTGAACAAGCTTTGTAAACAGTATTTTTTTTTTAAATATTCACAACCCAGTTTGAATTGTAAACGCTGATAACTTTGTTTACAAAAACCAGAAAAAACTTCAACAAAAATAATCCGTCTACACTAATAGTTAGTAAAAAATCCTGACATATAATCCAGGGCAGACACTCAATTACTACTGCAATCGGCAACACCACCACGCTGAATCTAAAAATACATCAAACAGAAATCCGAGTCAATATTTTCGACCGACAAAAAACATCGCAAAGCGTTTCGCAATAGCAGAAAAATTGAAAAAAAAATGAAGAGTTCGCTTCGCAAGCTGACGTTACAGAGCCAATTACGATCAAGTACGTACCAAAAACGATACAATAATCAACTCAGAAAACCCCTCTAGCTGATTTGGTGAAAACGGATTGCTATGATTTATGAGTTTCGGTTAAATTGGACATCGAAAGCTTTTCGTTTGACGGGTAAACAAATCAAAAATGAATCTGAAACGAGATTGCTCAAAGGCGCATTGTGTGACGTGTTGATACGAATCGTCGTTTTTTAGTTAGCTTCGGTCGGACAAAAAGTGTGTTCTAAAGTTGCATGAAATTCCATCCTGTGGACGCACAGTTCCGACCGCTACCGTGGTGTACGTGTATGGAATTTTTAGAACGAAATTGCTACACTATTTTTCACGTACCCGTTCATATGTGACGATCACTCGATGTCCATCTCTTTGTGTTGCGTTACGTTTCGCATACACCGATTTTTCCGTAGATTTCGTATTTTCGTTATTTTTACGATATTTGGACGAGTATTTTACTTTACTATTTCTCTCCACACTTCGTTGGTACCATCCGGTTCAATTACAAAATTTTCACGAACGTAAAGTTTGACCTGGCCGTTACTTTGTAAAAAAAAGCTTCTCTATTGATATTTTACTTTTGACTTGGATGTGCATGGAAATTCATTCAATTAAAAATGGAAGTGCGATGCATCTTGCTCACTTGTTTTACGTATTTTTTGATTCCTATTTTTTATCTATTTTCGGTTAACGAACATCGAGTGAACAAGTGCGACTACGAGCACTTTCACGGAAAATATTTTCAGATAAATATTTTGCACAAATACAGACAGTTAACAAGCTGATCTCATATATTTTGTACTTATCTCCACATGAAGTCAGATTATATTTATTACACTGGTACATTGCCTATTTATAAAGGTTTAAATCACCTGCTACTTTCATCTCTGCACTGCTTAAAGGTTGACTGGGAGACAATGCCCATGGCATTAAGTCCACCTGTACACACTTGTTGTATGAAGTTGAAATAAATAAATAAATATACAATGGTTAGTAGCCGTATGTTATCCACTGACTTTAAAGAAGAATTCTTACCTGTAGTAGTCTTCTTTGCAGTAGATATTGCCGTCTCTGGAGAAACAGGTGAGCTCGGTGTCGAGTGGCAGTCGACATTCACAGCACCGGAGGCAACTGCCATGCCACTGCCGGTCTACTGCTAGCAGATAATATCTGGTGAAAGAAAACCTTGTTAACGTTGCTGTTGGAAAAAGAAACTAATCTTTATGAAGTGATAAAATGATCTTGAATTAAAAATCTGAGTAATCGACACACATAAGGTGGTCTATTTAATCTCACCTGTCCTGAATCCGTCCCCCGCACCCTGCACACTCATCAGGGGCTGCGGGGGAATCTTCCGAACTCTCTCGTTCCTTCAACATGCCTTCTTGTTCCGTTCTGCACGCAGAACTGTACTCTGAATCTCAAATAACAAGGCTCATTTCACCCTGAACCGTGGTCTCGGTGTTGCAGTTTGGAACAGCCATAATAGCAAGATTGGTCGCCAGTTTTTGTTCTTTGGTGATCAAAACGGGATTCTTCGCGATCTGGCGACAAAAAGGTTTGTTGAATCGATGGTTTATCTTTTGTTTCTGCAAGTCTTATGTAATGCTATACAGGTTTTTATTTCCTTAAATGCTACATAATTTTTTACCTTTTTGGTATGGTAATAAGATTTATTTTTGCAAATAATAGTTAGTAGCCCATACAGAGTGTATGCAAATGTTAGAGACATAAACACATAACATGGTCCGTTCACGGTAGACATGGCAATGCGTTCCTTTGACTTTGAAAACGGATACATGCTACAAGTGGCCCGTTTGTGCAGAGAAATGGTAACCGATATTCATAGTCCTGCACAACCTGTTGTTTAAGGAAACTGAGAATTATTGGAAGTTCAATAGCAAGTTAGTATATAAAGTGCAAGGTGCTGGTGCTTTTGATTCCGGCAATATACAGACTCAACTAAGTTGCGTTCTCTCTTGGACTAGCGTGTCGTCTTATATAGGTGGTTCAATGTTTTAGATGAATATTGTTTAGTTTGGTGTTGGTGCGTGCGTAGTGCGGACCTTTTTAGACTTATTAATTTCTTTGAGTGTTAGTAATCATACAGTAAGCTATACTTTTAACAGGATTGCATACGTGCTTTGACAAACTTCCTATAGACCTGATCTAAAATTGGAAACCTCAACCACAGTGTTTTCAATGAAATCTGGTAAATTAAACCTAAAATGTGTTTGCCACGAGAAGATAGAAAACTAAATGTATGGTACTGTATCACTTCATAGTATAAAACAAAGTCGCTATCCGCCGTCTGTTTGTCCCTATGTATGCTTAGATCTTTAAAACTACGCAACGGATTTTTATGCGGTATTTTAATATATAGAGTTATTGTTAAGGAAGGTTTATATGTGTGATATATTATACATATTGCACCCGTGCGAAGTCGGGGCGGGTCACTAGTTAACACTAATATATTAAGTACTTAAATAAGTTAACACCATAAATTGAGTTAATCTCTCGATCGAATTTCGAAAGGACTCAGGAATTGTCTACAGAAACGACACCCTGTAGACCACATTGCAAAGTGTAAAGTAACCACATACGTACGCTGTCTCGCTCATACATTTAAATATAAGCCTAAATAAACATGGAAGGCTCTTTTCCATATCATTATTCGGATGCACAAATAAGTATAAATGTAGGTACGTATATACAATGGCTTCTATAGGCTACTCCACCATGAGACAATGGGATCCACTCCTTTTATTTTCATTCGTGATCTCAGTCCGACTGTCGTCGCATAATTTTGAATATATACATACGTTGATATTAGTTTTGTATGTATGTATGTTTGTTTGGTTGTTTCTAGAGGCGCATTGTGAGTTGTGTTATGTAAAGTTATTTTGTATGACAATAATATAGAAAACATATTATGAATCTGTATTTACGTTACAGAAGGATATCTCTGTAATAACCCTTACTATGGGCAGAACATGTGTGTTCATTATTTAGTCGGTAAATAAGGAAGTTGCCGGGGTATAAAAATTAAAAATCTTATAGTCAGTTATTATAATGAAAAAATATTAGACACGTATTTTTTTTTTATTTGTATAAAGTTACAATACTTAGATAAAAATTTAGTGATGTTTTGTATAGTATTTCAGATTGATATATCGTCGAAAGTATTTAATTTTGTGGGGAAAGAAAAAATGCGTGTCTAATTTTTTTAAATTAGTCTACCAGACGGACATTAAAAAAAAACTTAGGAAACTACCCTATTGTGACCACAATTTGTGTTATTCAATTGATTTGATCTGTCACCATTGCAAAGTTTAGGTTGGTCTGAAGAGTAACATAAGCCCAATGCAATGCCAATAAAAGCTAATATTTTAACTTGATATTTCTAGATATTTTATATGTACTCGTAACTATAGAAGTATCTAAGAATATAGTTCATAGATATTGTCTTAATTCTATGTGGGTGAGGCAGTAAGCTTATAGCTAGTTGGTAATTAGTTATGACTATAAGCGATAAACTTCAAAGTAGATGAAATTGGTATTTGTTTTTTTTTTAATCGATAGACGATGTCCTAATTAAGAGATACGTAGTTAAAGCAAAAGAATATACGACGTATGTTGAGTAACATAAAGTTCAATATTACCTAGTTCATTTTATAATTCTAAACAGTACTGTTACTGGCTAATTAAGACGATATAGTTTTATTAATTTATGATGTTCATTTTAACAAGATAAATCCTGCTTGCCTGCTAAATAAGTAGCAAAAAGTAGGTATATGCTCACCTAGTTATTCAAAGAAAAAGAAATGAAGTAAATTATTTCGTTTTCATTTACACTAGAAATGAGAACCTATTTTGTGAATATTTCAACACATTTAAGGCTTCATGTTTATTACAGTTTCATTTCATCTCTTTCACTTTAATTGTAAGTTTGTATGTTGTAAAGTTAATGTTATTATTTATACATTAAGTAATTAATATTATTCACTTCAGTTAATTCAAAGAATTCAACACAAAAACAATCGACTTTAATAGTCAGAATCGGTATGTTATTGCAGAAATGGATATTTTATTTCGGAAAACACGGTGAGTGCGAATTTCTTGCCGCAGGCTTGATATGTCGAAATTTGAGATGATTAAATTCGACTTATTGGTAGAAAGGAATTGTTTAAAATATTATTCGTTTGAGGAATGGTTGAACATGAGACCTTTTGTGATTCGTTGTTTTTTACTAAGTAATAGTTTGGAGACAGTGAAAACGAAATGTCATTATTGATGTTTGTAATTATATAGTTGGGACACCTCAAATCGTTTAGGCAAGCTTTAATTGGCCTAAAACTGTGACCTATATGTACGTATATAGTGGTACATACGCTTGGCGACTTCTTTTATGCTGTTTCAGGAGTTAGATTTTCGATTCATTGACATCAGGTTTGCGTAATTCGGGCATGACATTATATTTGGCAGTTGCCACGTCTGTACAATTGTCTATAATGATACTTTTGTATTTGTAAATGTACAAGTAGGTAATGCAGTAAAAATGGTCTGAAGTTAAACAAGCTTTTTGAAATAAGTAAATAAAAATAAGTTACGAAAAGAAAATAAAAATACTTACATCTTACTAGAATGTTATCCACTAAACAATCACAGTTATGTGCAAACTCAAAACTAGATCTCATAAAATGCCGACAAACTGCAGTAGGTACTATACTAACTATCAATTAGTCTAGCACATAGCAAAGGTTTGCAATTAGAAACGTTATATTTATCCTAACACAATAAAATTTGTTATCGGCCAACCGGCCCGTAATTGATGCAAATAAAGCTTTGGTTCAGGAATTATTATTTCCTATTGCCTCGCCGGTTAAGTGATAGGAGCTATTGAGTTTGGGGACGTAGGTTCGAACTCCAATGACTAAATTACTGGCTTGAGTATTTAAGCTAGGAGTAGTGTCTGGTGTTTGTATATTAAGCTTAATATTAAGCCTTTGACTGCCGACAGAATACTGCTGAAGACAAATCGTCCGGTAACCTAGGTCACCGGTGACCTACGCGGCGATTAACGTGTTAAGTTCGCTTGCTATTTAGTCAATATCAGAGAGATATTGCTGGAGTGTGGAGCTTCTCAATATTCACATGTAATAGAGGTGATAGCATATTAAGTACACCTCATATGAAATTCCAAATAAACTAATAGGGAGTTTAAAATTCTACATCTCTAACTCTAACAATATTTATCTACTTCATTCACAATTTTCAGAACTTAATGACCAGTACCAAATTGACCATTCTAGATACATTAACATCATAGTTTGATGGCACCCATAATAGGTTTTATTCACAAAAAATAAGGTAAAAACGCAATAGATTACGTTATCAACACCCTGTACAAACTCACACACTTACGCATTAAAAACGATAACTAACCGATAAACAATATTTTTACATTCTAAACGACAATAATTTTAACTAGGAAACGGCTGCAGTAGTAAAAATAATCAGTAACGTTAAAACTGAAATCGTTAAATTAATCTAACTCACAAGTTTATCGTTAACGGCACAGTTAAGAAAAAATAACGATTGTGTCCAAAAGTCAATTAAAAGTTCGATTAATTTGATACAAAAGTTTAACAAACTTCTGGTAGGCAATAAGGGGTTTGAGATAAACAAGGAAGTTTAAACAACCCTACGTTAAACTACTACAAGACATTCATACTCCATGCTCTTATGACTAGTTGTCAAAAAGTCTAAAATTGGCAAACAATCTGTTAGACTAGACGTAAATAGAAGTGATTTTTTTTTATCAACATTTATATTAATTTTTGGGTCGAAATTTTATTTGCATTTGGGATAATCTCCCATATTATCTCTCAAGAAGAAGGCAAAAGAGAAACAGCACACACTCACACGGACTGAGAGTGCTCAGTCCTGATAACGATGGACCAGGAAAATACTTAGTGGCAACTACGGTTGTTGCAGTTAGATGCATCGAAGTCATTATTTTCATGATGTCACAGAGAGTGCAAGAAAGAGAATCAAGGGCTACAAGAGTCATTATTCGATGTGGAGGACTAAGGAGGTGTGAACTGTGGACGTCTTACAGCTAACAAAGATAACGATGAATATGATGTCTGTAAAATCCTAGGTGATCCATGAACAAATATTTAAACACTCGTGTATAGAAATTCCTTCCAAGAGTTTGTAAATATGACATATAAAAGATGAGCAAATTATTAGCTAATTTTTATTTACTTAGAGTCCAAGTTTCTTTACAAGGTTTTCCTTTACTTCATATCGTTAGTATCTGAGAAGAAACTCACACAGCACCAGAAGGTACTTACGTACCTAACTTGGAAAAGTCATATTGGTAAAAGTTTCGAGTACACATCCTAGTGCTTGAAAACGTGGAATCCTATGACAACCTCTCAGTAGGCAAATTGCCTATTAAACTTATGTCTAACTGGTATTTCAAAGTACCATGTACTACTACTGGTAGTCTTCACCACGTATAGCTAAGGAGTGAAAT